GCCACGGACTATTCAGGACATGCTGTAAAGCAGGGACATTTTAAAACAAAGATGCCCCTGCCAACTGCAGCAGAAAGCAAGCCTGCTCACAGATTCTGGCTGCGTACTGAGAACCGAGGACAGAATTTAGATTGGACTGGGTCCATTTTCATTTGTCCATTTGTCTTTTTTTTCTTGTTTTGGCTTTTTTTTTTTTTTTTTTTTGGAGCACTGAACACTGGGACCAGCAACTCTCCAAACAATCCAGTGATATCACCTTCAAGTGAGTCATAGGGAGGGCAGGGTGGAGAAGTGCAGACAAGGAAAGTTCATGAGATTGTGCTCACTCAAACAACCTAAAATAAATAAAAAAGGGATATGTGTTTGGATGTGTGGAGGGGAAATTGCATCCACTAACCACCCAACACAGAATGGCACAGCTTTGGGAGCATGCCCATGGCTTCAGAGATTTGTAGCTAGCTGGGTTTTTCCTCAGATATGAGCAGGGTGACATTACCTAGGAAAAAAAAATGTGTAGGCACACCACACAGAGTATAGACACACATATGCATGTCCTGCACAGACACATGCTGTGAGAACACCAGATAAATCACTTTTTATTTCATTTCAGAGCACATTATTGGCTCAACTTTTGCACCACCAAAAAAAAATGAAATTCAATCTTCACATCATGTTTAGACTGTGACTCTGGTCACGTAGCATGGTGAGGGCAGGCTTTCCCTGAGCTCACCTGCAGCTTTCTTAATTTCTTAATGATCCTGAAGGTAATTATCTAGGGTTACAACAGGACCTGTAGTCATTGTTCAGAGCCAACTCTATCACTAGGATTCAGATTCTGCAAGATGCAGAATGATCTTTTATAAAATGACAAAAGGTAGAAAGGCCCCAAACGGACTTGCAAGCCTCCCCAGCAGTATTTTTACAAAATTTGTGTCTATTAGGAGAAGATAAAGTCTTCAACAGGATCTCCATGAGCCAACATAGAGCCTTCTCAACAAGGCAGATGCATCCTATCCTACCTGGAACCATCCTACACTGAGATACAACCAGGACCCTCCACCCACCAAGAGAGAGCATCACTGGATACTAGTCAGGGTGGAGAAGGGGCACCTCAGACGTCTGTCCCAGGCTGTCTCTACACATGTGGATTTGCTTAGTTTGGATGGAGAGCTCCCTACTGGGGGCACTACCCCCAAAAGCAGCAGTCCATTCAAGCAGGGGAAGGGCAAGCCAAGTCTCCATTGTCCTCTCTCTGTGAGGGCTCTGGGGTCCCACATGCTCCAGCATGACTAGGGGTTGCTGGATCCCAGCACACATACTGCCCACAGTGCCACTGCTGGAGAAAAGGAGGCTGAGGGGAGACCTTGTGGCTCTGTGCAAGTCCCTTGGAGGAGGGTGGAGAGAGGTGGGGGTGGGTCTGTTCAACCAAGGACCAAGGGACAGGACAAGAGGAAATGGCCTCAAGTTGCACCAAGGGCAGTTGAGATGGGATGTGAGGAAAAATTTCTTCACCAAAAGGGTTGTCAAGCATTGGAACAGGCTGCCCAGGGAAGTGGTAGAATCCAAAAAGCCTTCCTCTCTCAAATTGTTGCATATTTGTGTATGTGAAAGCACAAGCTAATTTCTTCCATTCTTTACTCATTCCCTAAATAAGATCCCACAACTCTTCCTTACGTGCAGCCTCCAAGTGCCTATCGAGAGAGTCTGATGCTCCAGCACGTACAAAGTTACCAGCCAAGGACCTGTTCTGGGGATTCCCTGCCTAGTTCTGTTCATCCCAGTGTGATCAAATGAGGAAACTATGGATGCACTCAGTACACATCTCTTCCAAGAGGCACGCTGATTAGCATGGTAATGAGGATGGTAATGAGCCCCTTGTCTTCAGATGTACACAAGGTTCTGGTGGGTGAAAAACAACCAAAGTTGAAATTTTGGGAATTCATCGATTTCTTTAGGTTTTTTTGTTTTCAAATTGTATTTTTGATCTGGATGCATAAGACAAAGTCTGTACTACAGCAACTGCATTGTGGAATGAACCGCTAAATACGAAATAGAAATTATTATTTTAACAACCATCAGGCTGTTTAAGCAAGAACCAATCTTGTAAGCAGCGCGGCTCAAGCAGTAATTGCTGGTCTCATTTCTAAAGAGACCCTTCTTTTATTTCCTTTGTTACCACAGCTTTTTGTTTTCTTTTCCTCTCTCTTTAAAGTTCAAAAAAAAAAATGCTACAGAAAACTGTAGCTCCTCTGAGAACCAGTGTGTGCTGCAAAAAAGGGTTCACAATAGCTCTGTGAAAGGGATTATGGTAATTAGCCTCATTCTTCAGGGTGGAAACTGAGCCATGGAACTTCTCCTCAACAAGGGCATGAACAAGATTAGATGCTTAATGAGCTCCTTCACCTGCATTAGACCCAAATGCTCACACTGAGCTATGGCAGGGTCAAGTTGAGACAACGCAATGTCTTAGGGCTGAGAGCCTAGGATTCCCTTGCAGAAAGCACAGGGCTCTGGGTAGAGGCTGGTCCTCAGGCAGGATGGAGAGCAGGGCAGTCCCGGCTTGAAAATAGACCCATCCAAACCTGAGACTGAGGAGAGGAACTGATGCCAGGCTTGGAAATCCACCGCTGGTCCACATTGCCCAAAGCATCGGATGGTGCTTGTAGGTCCAAGGTGGTGGGTTGGGGGCAAAGTGAGGAAGGGGGAAGACTCAAAGTCATGGTTGGATGGAGAATGGAGGAGATGCTACATGAAGCCATGATCATATGGAGAATGGAGAAGATGCTAGATGCAATGCAAAGGAGGACTGTCCTCAGCACCACTGAGGTGTTTGAAAGTTCCTGGCTAAACACTCAGGGGTGGTGTTTCTGCTGTGGTTAGAATTGGATGTGGTGATTTAAGCAGTCTAGTGTCAATCTATAAAGCTCACCACTGTCCCAGAAGGAGTAAACCCCTTTAATCAAAAACAACCAAGGTGGGTTCATCACCTCTGCAAACCCCTAACCCCGGTGCCCATAGTTCAAAAACCACAACACCAAGTGGTTGCTCATTAAACTGCAAACACCATCATCTCCATGAAGACCTCAGGTCTTTCCAGCACAGAGACTTTTTATTCCTGCTAACCGTCCTGACTCAATGCCTCCTTCAGCACGTATTGGTACTCCAGCCCTGTAACTTGGGTTGTCCTTCAGCAGATATTTAAGCTACATGGCTGCATCTGTGCTTTTTCTGCTGAAAAAAAGCTGAACCATCAGAAAATGCTGAGATCTGTCTTTATTCTCCCGCATCGCCATGATGGAGTAGCCCACGTACCTAATGCTGAGTCTATCAGTAATTTCTGCACTTTTTAGGGATGGATTTAAGAAAGCTTTGCTGGAACTAGTGCTCTGGGTTTCCTGGATGATGTTTTTTCTCCAGCAAACAGCTTGGGGAGTTTTATGTAGTGTTAGTCCCAAATTTCTAGCTCCTGGCACCTGTTTTACTGTTTTGACACCAGGCTTTTGAGCACAGGGAAAATAATAATGATATCCAGGGTTAATGTTATTTACTAAAATACAAATTATCACTCAGTCACATGGCGGCACAATTTGTCATCCAGAGCTAAAATTAAAAGAAATTAAGGCTGAGTCAGAAAGTTATTTCAGATCTGATTGGGGAATGCAAAGTGATGGGACCATGTGGGAGCAACACTGACATCTTCTGGTTGCAAAAAAAAATAATCTCCATCTTTTTCACCAAGAAAAAAACACTGGGAACCTCCAATACAAAAGCATAAGCAGGGGTCGTGGTGGACAAAAGTTTTCAAGTAGGAGGTACAAGCTTGGGATATTATCTGAGCCCATTTTAAGAGTCCACCTTAACATGACTGCAAAACTTGAACAGAGGGTGTGTGGCACTGATGACCCAAAATCGATGAGTCTAGGAGGTGAGGGGGTGTTGCTCTTCCATCAGTGCAGGTGACAGGGCTGTACCCATCCCTTTATGTTGCAGTGGTGAACTGTGCAATGCAACACGTAGGAAGAGACAGGCACCAAGAACCGATCCCTGCAAACCAGCCAAGCAACAATTTTCTCCATCTGATCTGGAATGGGACAGGTCCTGGTTGCCTTGTGTTGATAAACCAAGGATGCGTGGGGACCACTGAACCTGTTCCCCAAAATTGCACCCTCAGATCCTGCTATAATGTCTCAGAAAGCAGACCAGCCCCCAGATATGGAAGATACTTCTTGGGTGTAAGTCTCCTGCATCAATTCAGAGCAGGATGGCTGAACCCACAGCGAGGGAAACAGGTTTGGCCATCGGGCTGTTGGATCCTGCAGCAGGACTTTCATTCTGTCCTCTGAGGTGGATCCCCTCAAAACATAATGCATGCTGGACTGGGGGAGATTAGCTGGATGGTGGTCTGGAGAGAGTTGTGAGAAAAATCCTTCACCCTCACCACCCCTCATGCTTCTGTAGTTGCTGCAACAATAAACAGCCTCCCTCCAAGGTACAGGGGCTTGTCATGATGGCTCACAGCTGCATGGAGGGTGCTGGCTCCATTGCTAGGAGCCCTTTTGCAGTGGAGGTTAGGAGGCTCCTGCCAAAGGCATAGTATTATCCATCATTATCACTTCAGGGTCAATGCCTTGCTGTCCTGCAGTGGCCAGATCTTCACTCTGGTGGCAACAGGATTGCTAGCCAAGGACCTAATAGCAGAATCACACTTTCAGCCTTTATTGCAGGTCTCACCTCTTCCAGACTGGATTGACCAAGAGTTGCACTCAATGATCCTTGTGGGTCCCTTCCATCTCACAACATTTTATGATTCTAGATGCTTTCCTGTGCAACCTGTTGTAGGAAACCTGCTTTGGCAGGGGGGTTGGACTAGATGATCTCCTGAGGTCCCTTCCAACCCCTATGATTCTGTGATTTATGATTCTATGACCACAACCTTTGCTACTCTGCGCTGCCATACCTTTCCCCTTCCTCTAACCATATTTCTTTTAATCTCTTCCAAGGTTCTTTCTTCCCATCTCTGAAGCCCTCTGAAATGGTCTTCAAAGTTATCTTCTGGCTGGGATACTTCAACAGCTGCGTGAATCCCATCATCTACCCTTGCTCCAGCAAAGAGTTCAAGCGAGCTTTCATTAGGCTGCTCAAGTGCCAGTGCCACCGGAGAAGACGACCCATCTGGCGCGTCTATGACCACCACTGGCGAGGGGCCTCCGTAAACAGCTCGGTGCCAGACTCTGAGACAGACATGAGGCCCAGGATTAGCACCCTGAACAGCTCATTCATCTTTAACTCATCCTTGCAGGACAGAGCCAATAAGAGGCAAACACTCAGCTTCAAGGGCTGGAAAATGCTCAGTCCTTTCCAGAAACCAGCATCCACCCAACTGAAGGAGAAGATGAACAGTCTTTCTAACAAAATCCGAGGTGGCTCCAGCAAAGGGAGCATGACAGCCACCTACAAAACAGAGGTGGAGTCTGTCTCCATCGGGATCCCTCATGACTTTGTGGAAACCATTGACTACCAAACCTATGACTTAACAGACTGCTGTGGGCTGCGAGAAACAGATATCTGAAGCCACTGGGACAGCTGTCGATGGTTTCTTTAGATGTAACTAGCAGAAACATGAAGCGAAACTATCTGTGGGTCTGTCAGGCAGACTGGAAGAAGCAATCAGGTATAAAATGCAGGTGCCCAAAGGTTATACAAGTGTCCCCCACGCGGAGGTCAGGCCCTTCTCTGGGATTATGGGTTCCTCAAATAAGAGCCAATGGCATATCCCATTTTAATGAGCCTCAGCAGGAGGAGAAGGTGTGGGGTGGATATGGCCTTAGAACAAGAGCTGTTTCCTCCAGTGGATGATTATCTTTGACTTTGGAAGAAGCTGTGCAATTAAGGGAAACCAGGATATCTCCTTTGCCTTAAAAACACCACCACAAAATCTAATGGAAAGATCAAACCCCAAAAGATGCCAACCCTGCCTTAGTACATGTGATCATGTTTCCATCCAGAAGCAGCACCCAGAAAGGACACTGTCGAGCAGTAGCTGGCAGCTGATCCTTTAGATAATGGGTTGAGAGCTTGTAGGTCTACAGAGCTGGGTAGGACCTCCAGCCAAGGCCTTTGCTTTGGAGGGCAAGCAGACTGTGGTGGTCTCAAGCAGGGTGGGGGGATCCTGGCTCTCAGCCATCATGTCTGGAGTGACCACAGCTTTGCCCCTTCCATGTAACCTAGTTTAAGGCTAGAGGAGTAGGCCAGAGGTATACACTGATGCAAATGGGTGTGCAGGTCTTTCTTCTTTAATTCCAACCTGTGATGCATTTCTCAGTTCACTTTCCAGTGAAACACTTGCAACCCACCTTGCTCTAGTGCGTATCCATCTGTGATACAAAGAGGAAGCAGCTTCTTTTGGTGCCGGTCATCTCCAACCTTTTCAGTCACCTTCTTGCTCTTGATGTTGTCTCTCTCAAACAACAAAGAATAAAGAGGTATCCTAGGGGCTTCGCTCAGATCCAGAGACAACCTGTGCTGTGGCTCAGGGAAGGTGGGATGGATGAGTTTGGGGCCCACTTCTACTACCCATAGAGTTAAATCTAAAATGGAGCTCACGTGCAGTTGGAGCTCCCTCATGTAGATGGATCTTCTCCATAGTCAGGGTCACACACATGACTCTTATCCCAAGTGGCTTCCCACATACTTGATACATCAAAGCCTTTGGTGGCTATCAGCAATTGCCATTGGTTTTGTCCACTAGAATGGTCAAAAGCAATGTTGATAAGGTGGGTTTTTCACCCTTCTCACAACCCCAGAGTGCAAGCTACCCTCAGGAGAGCACCATGGCCTCCTCTGAGGACTGCAGGGAGGTTGGAGCCATAACAGACCCACCTTGGCCAGGCTCACACAAACCGTGCTTTACAATTAGAAAAATTATTGCCTAAATTCTGCTTGGCCATGTATTGCAGGCACTGGTTTTATCAAATTTCAGACAGGCAATGAACCACAAAGAGATATTAGATGGAGCTGTGGGAAGAGGCAGAAGACACGTAGGTGATGGAGGCAAAGTCTGAATCTGAGGTGAAGTGTCTCAAGCCAGGTGAGGAAAACACAGGAACATGAAGTCGAAAGGTAGAGAGATGACACTGAACACATCCTGGATGGAAACTCATCCAGATCAGCACTGTCCCCCAAACCCATTAGGAGTCTTTCACAAATGTGCCTCCAGCACATCTAGCTAATCCTCTTAAGGGTGGCTGTCAAAGGAGATCAGATGCTCCTAGGCATAGCAAAGAGAATGTCACCCTTCTTTCTGCTGTTCATTTGCTTTAAAGGAAGTCAAAACTGAGGAAAATTTGGACTTCTTTTAATTTTACTTTTTTGTACAGTGCTTACTGAGACATGATATCTGGAGCTGGTCTCAACAGCCTCAACACCCTTCTGCCCTTTACATAATGCAAGACTCCAAACTGGACAAATTACTACACAAAGACCTGCAGATTTTGCCCGAATGTTTCCCTCCTAGCAGGAAATCCCACCAAAGCACATGGGCAGCATTGCACTCACACTGAACCCAGACTCATTACTGCCTGCATGGTTGCCAGTGCCTGCAAAATCAGCCAGAGGTTGCCAGCTTGAGAGGTTCAACCCTACCAAGCAAGGACCCAATAGTACATGGGAACCCCTGTGGTGAAATGCATCTTTCCCCTCCCCCCTTTTTCTTGGACTTCAAGGGAAGTGAGACCCTACAGTGGTGACACAGAAAGTCATTTTGCAGTGTAAGGACTGCAGCTGCCACTGGTTTCCCAGATGGTTTTGGGATCCTGATGGGAGAGAACGCTGCTGGCACTGGGGATGTAGCAAGGAAGGCATCAGGGAGAGGGCAGTCACTGAAGAGCAGAGATGTCTGGAAGGTCAAGGTGAAAGCATTAATCTTCCCACCTTCTGCCCACCCCTCGGGATGCATGTACACACGAGCCACTCTCAGAGGGACTAAAAACACCCAGATCTGCATTTTTGGCCCCTGTTCTGGTGACGCTGCTTTGCAGGTCTAGCTCATGCAAGTGTACAATGTAAGCAATTTGGGGGCACAGTTTAGGATGAGCTTGTACAGACATCAACAGAAGTTAAAGTCTAGTCATGGGGAAGATGGACATTTGCCATTAAATGCTCTCCAGTGCTAGACCAGGCTGGATGAGGCTTTGAGCAACCTGGTCTAGTGGAAAGTGTCCCTGCTGATGGCAGGGGGGTTGGAACTGGATGAGCTTTAAGGTCCCTCCCAACCCAAACCAGCCTGTGATTCTGTGATTCAATGCTCAGGAGTGGATTTATTTGGTGTCTGTTCACAGCCAGAGACCCATAGCACGTGGCAACGTGTGCATCCACGACCATACAGATACACATACACACTTTACTACATTTATCTATATAAATGTCATCTCTGAAATAGCAGATGTTCTCCTATAAATGGAGACTTTTCAGGGGCTTTTAGCAATTGCTGGCAAGCACTTCATTCCCAAGAATGACTTGAAATTATTGCTTACACTTCTCTCTAATCTTTGCAATATATTTCTTTCTCTTTTTTTTTTTTTCCAAGTTTGAAATATTTGCAGCCTCTGGCCCCTTGAAAGTTTCCAGAAGGGAAAGAAAAAATTAGTCTGGAGGTTTATTACCTCACCATCCCAATTCTTTACAGACCTACGGAGGAGAAAATGAGGATGAACTCTCTTTAAGCATGTACAGGCTGACACACATAAATGCTTGAACTCTGGCTCATTTACTTACTGTACTTGATCAGGCCCCAAGAGATACCCTAGAAGGTGCTGTAGGAAAGTCTTGAGCTCTTCTGTGCTGCATTCAGACAAAATACTTGTTTCTCACCTTAGCCAGGTCTCCCCTTTCATTTAACATCTTGCATCAGAAGAAGCAACATCAGGACTGGACTCTGAGTCTCTTTGTGTAGAGCTCCATCTAACGTAGACAGGGTTGTCTTTGCTGGCAGGGGATGAAGGACAATGTTGTATGAAATATGACCTGAGTATCTAAAACTGTGCATTTCCCTCTAATTCCCTTAATCTCCACACTCTCCCAAGTTTGGAAAAATGGGCTCAGACTTTCAGGAGGAAAATTTGATCTGATCCCATAGACTTCTCTGGATGAACAAGGCTGTGAGTAGCTGAGGGTATGGCCCCATTTCTCCAAATTTGGCAAGCAGGCCATTTCCCAAAGGACCCATACCTTGGTTATCCAGCAGCTCTCACCTCGTTGCACTGGCTTTGTGTCCCTGTTGCATCATCAGACCTTGATGCTTCGACGTGCAGGATGGTGAGCATCAGCTTTGACGTCAGTAGACTCACAAGTCCTATTGAAAGGAGAAGGAAGGTCCCTGTCAGCCTGAGCTGGACTGCAGTTGGGTTGCATTACTATTGTTTACAGTGTGTATATAAGTGTACATTTTCTTTAGCAGACATTGGAATTTTTTATGTATAGATTTTTATTTTTCATCCCCCAGATGTATTTATTAGCCAGAGTATTTCTGTTTTGTGATCCAAGTTCTGTCAGATTGATGTAAGCTCTATGAAACAGAATGCACATATTTTTTGTTTGTTTGTACCAAATACATGCACAAACCTGCCTAAAACGTTGTGAATTGTTGTTGTGTCCAATTTTTTAGACCAGGAGTTGTAAGGGATGAGGGAGGGAGGAAGAAAAACTTGCAAATTATCCACCGCTATTTTTCTCTCAAAGACTTTTTGGTAATTTGACAAGGATAATTGCTCCCACATGAAAGAATTTATTATAAAAACAAGTCAGAAGAGGACTCTCAGCTTTGTGCCATGCAGGGGTGAAGGGGTCATATCAGCCATGTATTCTCCAAGATGCTCCCTACAGCAGGCAGGTTCTGGATGCAGCCATGACCCATGGGAGGAGAGAAGGACAGAAGGAGCGAAGGCCATTATGTACTTGATGGTCAGGAACAAGCTCTGCTGAAAGAATTTCCACCAGAGCAGCGTTTTTTTGATGAAAACTGAAATTTCAACTCATTGAAGATTTCTCTGGAAAATTTTAATTTTTTCTTCTAAAGTTAAAATTCCAGCATCACTCACAAAACTACTACCCTTGGTGAAATGGAAATAGCATTTCTTGTGCTCCTGTCCCACTCCAGGTACTCCATTTCACAAGGTGTGGCCTGATGACACCTCTGCATACTGGGCAGTGATGTCTTAAGGCTGGATATCATGGGAAGGACTCTGAGCTGGAAAGCCCAAAGGGGAGAACAGCAAAAGAAGGCAAAATACTTGTCTCAGCCTCTAGGAGAAATATCACATTACCCTCAGTTCTGGAGCCCCCAATATCAGAAAGACATGGAGCTACTGGAGCCAGTCC